GGAGATATAAAGAGTTTCCCAGTGAATGAACCACTTTATTATAATTTAATGTCCTTGTGTGTCTCTTGTTGAGTTTTGACTTGAACTATGTTTTATTAAATATGACAGCTTTTGACTTAATGTAGTTAGTTCTCCACCTCTCATTTGGTTAATATTTTCATAAAATGTTTTTTCCATCCTGCCACTTTCAGTCTATTTTTATCATTAGATCTGAGGTGAGTTTCCTGGAGACAGGGCATGCATGGATTTTGTTTCCTAAAATTAAAAAAAAAATCCTTTATTTAACATTTCCCTTTTGATTGGGAAGTTTAGTCCATGAATATTTTAGTACTTTACTGAAAAGAAATTACTTAACAATTGCCATTTTATTGTTATATTTGGCTCTTGTAGCTATTTTGTCCTTATTTACTTTGTATTCCTTTGTGTCCTGTGGATATACGTAGTGGCATGCTTTGCTTTTTAAATTTTTTTTGTATCTGCATTTTCTTTATGATTACCATTTAAATTAGATTAAATCTCTTAAAGTTACAACTGCATGTTTTAAACGGTAACAACTTGCACTCAGTTGCATATGAAACATCCTGTTCATTTTATCTGCCCTTGACTTATAATGTCACTAAATATATGATAAATTTATGGCTGTTTTAATTTTCATGTCTTTGAAATTTTAAAGCACAATTGCTTTCTGCCTAATAATTATAATACTACAAAGTTTTACTTTTGTGTATGGGGGAACCCATACATATGTGAAGAATGTGACAAAGCCTTTAACTGGTTCTCAAATCTTACTCAAAATAAGAGAATTCATACTGGAGAGAAATCCTACAAATATGAAGAACACAGCAAAGCCTTTAGTCAGTGCTCACCCTTTATTGGACATAAGATAATAAGATAATTTATTCTGGAGAGAAACCTTACTAATGTGAAGAATGTGGCAAAGCCTTCAACCAGGGCTCACATCTCGCTAGACACAAGATAACTCATACTGGAAGGAAACCCTACACATGTGAAAATGTGGCAAAACTTTTAACTGGTTCTCATACTTTTCTCAGCATGATAACAATGAGAGAAATCTTACAATCGTGAAGAATATGAAAAAAATTTTTTCATGGCTTCATCCTTACTAAAAACAAGAGAATTCATACTGGACAGAAATGCCACAAATGTGAAGAATATGGCAAAAAATTTAACCAGGGCTAACATCTTATTGGACACAAGATAATTCATACTGGAGAGCAACCCTACAAATGAGAAAATTGCAGCAAAGCCTTTAACTGGTTCTCAAACCTTACTAAACATAAGGGAATTCATTCGGAGAAAAACCCTAGAAATGTGAAGAATATGGTAAGTCTTTGATCAATGCTCAATCTTTACTGAATGTAAGATTATTCATGATAGAGAACATCTACAATTATAAGGAATATAGCAAAAGTTTCGATTTGTGCTTAACTTTTAATGTAAGTGAATTCATTCTGGAGAGAAACCCTACCAAGGTACATTCCGTGGCAAAATCATGAATGAATGCTGACATCAAAATCTACATCAGTAATTTAATACGAAACAAAAGTGGTGGAAATGTCATAACTGTTGAAGAATCTTTTGGTGAACAAATGTCAGCTTTTGTTGAATATATGCCTAAAAGTGTAATTGCCAATTCATGGTATATGGTCAACATAAGTAGATATTGCCAGAAATTTTCCAAAGTGATTCTATCTCACAAATTTTTAAAACTAAAACCAATGTGAAACATCAGTATAAATTTTAAAAGGATTTGATTAGTGTTAGGTATATGGAGGGGGATTACATTCCTGATAATACCAAACTGCTGGCTTCTGATAACTGTGACTCTTAGGTCTTTTTATACTAATTGTGCTAATGCATTTTTTTTTTTAGTTGTTTTGCTCTTGTTGCCCAGGCTGGAGCACAGTCCCGTGATCTTGGCTTGCTGCAACCTCCACCTCCAGGGTTCTAGCAATTCTCCTGCCTCAGCCTCCACAGTAGCTTAGATTATAGGCATGCGCCACCATGCCTGGCTAATTTTGTATTTTTAGTAGAGACGGAGTTTCATCATGTTGATTGCTGGTCTCAAACTCCTGACTTCAAGTGATCTGCCTGCCTCGGCCTCCCAAAGTGCTGGGATTACAGGTGTGAACCATCAGCGCCCAGCCTATATGCATTTTTAAAAGTTAAGTCTATGGTCTTTTTCTGTCATATTTTCCATTTTCTTGCCCATCTCTTAATTTAATGAGAAGTCAAGTCTCTATCTAATATACTCCATTAATATCTTGTATTTCTGAGAGATAAAATATAAACAGAATTGGTGGGTAGTGGTAGAATGTCACTAACAATCCCCATAGGTTGCCTGGTCCCAGGGTTTGGTCATAGCTTCCTGGATTTTTAGTGAAAACACCATGTTAGAGATATTCCCATTACATGATTTTATGTATTCATTTCATTCATTCAAGTGCCTTCTAATTGCACTGCTCTGGATGTTGATGACACAAAGAGTGATAAAGTACACTCATACCTTCAAGAATCTCATAGATGCAGAAACTAACACAGCACAGTGCAGCAATTCTAAAATAATAAAGATGTGCAGAAAACTATGAGAGCCCAGAGAAGAGATTGGCTGACCCTGCCTGGTGACAGTAGGCGAGTATTACAGAGGAGATATGGTTTCTGGAGGTCTCCAGGATGGGGCTGTAGCATAAAAAGAAGAATATGTGAGGCAGAAGCAGCAGTAAGTGGAAAGGCTTGGAGACGTGGAGGACATTGTATGGTGCTCAGAGAGCAGCAGTATATGGGTGGCAAGTGCAGCATTTGTGCTGCCACCCACTTCCCCATGCCAAAAGCAGACAGCAGATCTGCCTTTGACAATCCAGAGTGCTAAAGAACAGGAGTAGACCATCTGATAATGTGTCACTTGGTCTGGTCATTGTGTAATTCCTACAATAGGCTCCTTGTACAGCAGGTTTAGTACATCAATACTGCATTGTAAATCTAGTTTGTATAATTGGTGTAGTGTCTCTTCCAATCCCTTTTCCCCCATTTTTTTTTTCATGTGGCAAATAGGTCAAGGTGATGTGGGATAAATGTGACTCTCTAAATACACCTAGATACCTGTGTATTAAATAGCAGCTTCTGAAATGCTGGAGGTCTCTGTCCTCAGTGCTTCCATAGTACTTTGTGATATCTCCCTTAACATTTACCTCACTACATCACACTTTGTACGTGTATATATTTGTCTGTTCCACTTGGCTGTGAGCCCTTTGAGGGCCAGGACTATGCCTCATTTATTTTTGTATCTATATTTTGGTGCCTGAATCAAAATAGGTACTCAATAAATGTTAGTTGGATAATTGTTTAAAAAACACAGATACAACTTTAGATGTCTGCCACTTGCCACAACTTGTGGTAGACGAGCTGTACTTACAGTTTTCTTTTAATAGCACTTGGTCCTATGAAAAGTTCTGTAATCTCCTTAGGATTGTTTATACAGTTGAGCCTGAACAACACGGGGTTAGAGTTCCTGACCCTCCTGTGCAGTGAAAAATCTGAGTATAACATTTGACTCCAACAAACTTAAGTTTTGATTGGAACACTTACTTGTAACATAAACAGTTAACACATATTTTATATGTATTACATCCTGTATTATTATTATTGTTATTGACAAGGTCTGGCTCTGTTGCCCAGGCTGGATGGAGTACAGTGGCACATTCATAGCTCACTGCAGCCTCGACATCCCAGGCTCAGATGAGCCGCTCACCTCAGCCTTCCAATGCTGGGACTATAGGTACCCACCACCCTGCCCAGGGAATTTTTGTTTGTTTGTTTCGTGTTGGTAGAGACGGTGTCTCACTCTTTTGCCCAGGCGGGTATTGAATTCCTGGGCTCAAGCATCAGTTATCCCTCATCTGCCTCCCAAAGTGCTGGGATTGCAGTCATGAGCCACCACACCCGGACCTGTATTTTAAAGTAAGCTAGAGGAAAAAAAAAAAAAAGAAACTTCGGCTGGGCACAATTGCTCAGGCCTGTAATCCCAGAACTTTGGGAGACTGAGGTGGCCGGATCACAAGGTCAGGAGTTCAAGACCAGCCTGGCAAATATGGTGAAACCTCACCTCTACTAAAAATGCAAAAATTAGCCAGGCACGGTGACAAGTATCTGTAATCTCAGCTTCTCGGGAGGCTGAGGCAGGACCCATTTACTCAGGAGCCTGAGGCAGGAGAATCGCTTGAACCCAGAAGGCAGAGATTGCAGTGAACTGAGATCATGCCACTACACTCCAGCCTGAGTGACAGAGCAAGACTCCGTCTCAAATATTTGCTATTCATTAAGTGGAGATTGATCATCAATCATAATGGTCTTCATCCTCGTCTTCGTGTTGGATAGTCTGAGGAGGAGGAGGGACTGGTCTTATTGCTCAGGTGTGGGCTAAGTCGGGAAGTCGTCCGTGCCAGCGGCCGTCATCCGAGAAGCTCCTGAGCATACCGGGCCAGGTCCCAGCAGCAGGCACCAGCAGAGCAATCAGTGGAAACCTGGGGGCAGGGAGGCAGCGCGCTCCAGGGAGCCCGCTTACCATCCCGAGGGCCTTGCCGGCCTGCAGATGGCGCTCGCGAGAGCACGGCTCAGAGCGGTTTCTCTGCGGGGGTGGGGGGTGGGGGTGGAGGGGCCTCTCGTGCGCTGACTGTTAGCGTGCATGCGCCTGCTCGCTGGCTGTTAGGGCGCAGGCGCGCCCCGGCTTGCTGTTGACGCGCATGCGCCGGTCGGCTGGCTGATGCTGCGCATGAGCCCGCTGGCTGGCTGTTAGCGCGCATGCGCTCGCCGACTGGCTGTTAGCACGCATGCACCTGCCGGCTAGCTGTTTGTTACCGCGCATGCTCCCGCCCACTGGCTGTTTGTTACTGCGCATGCGCCCTCAGGCTGGCTGTTTGTTACTGCGCATGCGCCAGCCGGCGGGCTGTTAACGGCGCATGCGCGCTGGTGCCTAACAGCTCTGCTGTGCTAGGTGCTCCTTTCAGAAGCTGGAGACTGGAGTGTCCCTGGCGGCGGTTGCGGCTGGACCTGGTTACCTGCGGGTGCTTTGCTCCAGAGCAGCAGAAAGCGAGTGGGAACTGAGTTGTCTTGAAGCCAGTCCCTCAGCCTGGGAGATCTTTGGCTTCAGGATGGGGATCGGGGGGTGGTTCCTGGGGGCCTGCAGGAGACGCATGGCTAGCTGGAGGGAGAATCATCGCAAGGGTGGCGATGGCTTTTCAAACACGCGGTACCGAATCCGGCAGAAACATCTGGGCATGATCCACAAAGCTGCCATCGCTGGTGATGTGAATAAGGTGGACGAGATCCTCATACTGAGGTTGAATGAGATAAACGACAGAGACAAGAAGAAGAGGTAACGACCGGGGCTGGGGGCTGTGGAGGGAGGCCTGGGGATATGGGAGAAGCCCCCATTCCTGGCTTTGGGGTAGAGGAGATATGGTGCAGGGTGAAGGCATGGGTGGGGTGGAAGTCAGGCTGGGGTTGGAGTTGGGTGGGCGGGTGTGTGGCATTGTGGTGGGGATAGAGTTGGGAGGGGGACTGTGGGAGGAAGTGGAGTTGGGTGGTGTCTGATGTGGTGGGGGACTGATGGGGAGTGGAGTGGAGTGGATTGAAGGTTGGATGGGGTGTAGGGGGTGTGTGGGGGGTTGAGTGGCATAGGATTGGTTGGAGCGGGGGGTACTGGTGAGGGATAGAGTTGGGTAGGACATGGGTGGAATGCAAAGTGGGGGTTAGGTGAGTGCTGTCACCAAGGGCACTGGGCTCTCTACCCTGGCAGGCTCAGTAGCACTTGGGATGTGGAAACTTTGCCATGGGGGTGGAGCACCCAAGCTATCTTTATCAGCAGCAAAACAAAAACAACACTTAGCTGGTTCCTGATCCACTTATCATTAACCTTATAGACATTTTATAAACCATTTTAAAGTGATTTAACTAACAAAATTAAGTATATACATCACTTTCTTTTTCTTTTTTTTAATATTCTTTTTTTTAAATTGCATTTTAGGTTTTGAGGTACATGTGAAGGACGTGCAAGATGGTTGCATAGGTACACACATGACAGTGTGATGTGCTGCCTTCCTCCCCATCAACTATATCTGGCATTTCTCCCCATACTATCTCTCCTTAACTCCTCACCCCCTGATGTCCCACCCCTATTTCCCCCAGACAGACCTCAGTGTGTGATGCTCCCCTCCCTGTGTCCATGTGTTCTCATGGTTCAACACCTGCCTATGAGTGAGAAGACGTGGTGTTTGATTTTCTGTTCTTGTGTCAGTTTGCTGAGAATGATGGTTTCCAGGTTCATCCATGTCCCTACAAAGGACACAAACTCATCGTTTTTGATGGCTCCGTAATATTCCATGCTATATATGTGCCACATTTTCCCTGTCCAGTCTATCATCGATGGGCATTTGGGTTGGTTCCAGATGTTTGCTGTTGTAAACTGTGCTGCCATGAACATTCGTGTGCATGTGTTCTTATAGTAGAACGATTTATAATTCTTGGATATATACCCAGTAATGGCATTGCTGGGTCAAATAGAATTTCTATTTTTAGGTCATTGAGGAACTGCCACACTGTCTTCCACAATGGTTGTCTCCAGATCTTTTAATGATCACCATTCTAATTGGCGTGAGATGGTATCTCAATGTAGTTTTGATTTGCATTTCTCTAATGACCAGTGATGATGAACATTTTTTCATGTTTGTTGGCCTCATGTATGTCTTCTTTTGTAAAGTATCTGTTCATGTCCTTTGCCCACTTTTGAATGGGCTTGTTTTTTTCTTGTAAATCTGTTTTAGTTCTTTGTAGATTCTGCATATCAGCCCTTTATCAGATGGGTAGATTGTAAATTTTTTTTCCTTATTATTGGTTGCCAATTCACTCTAATGACTGTTTCTTTTGCTATGCAGAAGCTGTGGAGTTTGATTAGGTCCCATTTGTCTATTTTGGCTTTTGTTGCCAATGCTTTTGGTGTTTTGGCCATGAAGTCCTTGCCTACGTCTATGTCCTGGATAGTTTGCCTAGATTTTCTTCTAGGGTTTTTATGGTGTTAGGTTTCATATTTAAGTCTTTAATCTATCTGGAGTTAATTTTAGTTTAAGTTGTCAGAAAGGGATCCAGTTTCTCCTTTCTGCACATGGCTAGCCAGTTTTCCCAACACCATTTATGAAACAGGGAATCCTTTTCCCATTGCTTGTTTTTGTCAGATTTATCAAAGATCGGATGGTTGTAGATGTGTGGTGTTGCCTCCAAGGCCTCTGTTCTGTTCCATTGGTCTATATCTCTGTTTTGGTACCAGTACCATGCTGTTTTGATTACTGTAGCCTTGTAGTATAGTTTGAAGTCCAGTAGTGTGATGCCTCCCGCTTTGTTTTTTTTTTTTTTGTTGAGAATTGACTTGGCTATGTGGTCTCTCTTTTGGTTCCATATGAAGGTTAAGGTGGATTTTTCCAGTTCTGTGAAGAAGGTCATTGGTAGCTTGATGAGGATAGCGTTGAATCTGTAAATTACTTTGGGTAGTATGGCCATTTTCACGATATTGATTCTTCCTAACCATGATCATGGAATGTTTCTCCATCTATTTGTGTCCTCTTATTTCGTTGAGCAGTGGTTTGTAGTTCTCCTCGAAAAGGTCCTTTACATCCTTTGTTAGAAGTCTGTTATTGGTGTATAGGAATGCTTGTTATTTTTGCACACTGATTTTGTATCCTGAGACTTTGCTGAAGTTGTTTATCAATTTCAGGAGATTTTGGGCTGAGATGATGGAGTCTTCTAGACATACAATCATGTCTGCGAATAGAGACAATTTGACTTCCTCCTATCCTATTTGAATACGCCTTATTTCTTTTTCTTGCCCAAATGCTCTGGCTAGAACTTCCTATACTGTATTGAATAGGAGTGGTGCGAGAGGGCATCCTTGTCTAGTGCCATATGAAAGGGAATGCTTCCAGTTTTTGCCCATTCACTATGATATGGCTGTTGGTTTGTTGTAAATAGGTTTTATTATTTTGAGATATGTTCCATCAACAGCTACTTTATTGAGGGTTTTTAGCATAAGGCACTGTTGAATTTTATCAAAGCCCTTCTCTGCATCTATTGAGACAATCATGCGGTTTTTGTCTTTGGTTCTGTTTATGTGGTGAATTACGTTTATAGACTTGTGTATGTTGAACCAGCCTTGCATCCCTGGGATGAAGCCTACTTGTTCATGGTGGATAAGCTTTTGGATGTGCTGTTGCAGTCGGTTTGCAAGTAATTTATTGCAGATTTTTATATCTATATTCATCATCAATATTGGCCTGAAGTTTTCTTTTCTTGCTGAATCTCTGCCAGATTTTAGTATCAGGATGATGTTGGTCTCATAAAACGATTTGGGAAGGATTCCCTCTTTTTGTATTCTTTGGAATAGTTTCATAAAGAATGGTACCAGCTTCTCTTTGTATGTCTGGTAGAATTCGGCTCTGAACTCATTTGGACCTGGGCTTTTTTTTTGGTTAGTAGGTTATTAATTGCTGCCTCAACTTCAAACCTTCTTAATGGTCTATTCAGTGTTTCGACTTCTTCCTGGTTTAGGCTTGGGAGGATGCAAGTGTCCAGGAATTCATCCATTTCTTCCAGGTTTACTAGTTTATGTGCATAGGGTTGTTTGTAATAATCTCTGGTGATGGTTTGTATTTCTGTGGAATCTATAGTGATATCCGCTTTATTGTTATTTATTGCATCAATTTGGTTATTCTCTCTTTTCTTTTTTTTTATTTTGCCTAGTGGTCTCTCTATTTTATTGATCTTTTCAAAAAATCAGCTCCTGGATTTATTGATTTTTTGGAGGCATTTTGTGTCTCTATCTCCTTCAGTTCTGCTCTGATCTTAGTTATTTCTTGTCTTCTGCTAGGTTTTGAGTTTTTTTGATCTTGCTCCTCTAGCTCTTTCAATTTTGGTGACAGGGTGTCGATGTTTGATCTTTCTTTGCTTGTCCTGTAGGCATTTATTGCTATATATTTTCCTCTAGACACTGCTGTAAATGTGACCCAGAGATTCTAGTATGTTGCGTCTTCATTCTGGTTGGTTTCAAAGAACGTCTTTATTTCTGCCTTCATTTTATTGTTTATCCAGTCAACGTTTAAGAGCCAGTTGTTTAGTTTCCATGAAGTTGTGTGGTTCTGAGTTAGTTTCTCAATTCTGCGTTCTAACTTGATTGCACTGTGGTCTGAGAGACAGTTTGTTTTGATTTCTGTTCTTTTGCATTTGCTGAGGTGTGATTTACTTCCAATTATATGGTCAATTTTAGAGTAGGTGTGATGTGGTGCTAAGAAGAGTGTATATTCTGTGGATTTGGGGTGGAGAGTTCTGTAAATGTCTATTAGGTTTGCTTGGTCCAGATTTGAGTTCCAGTCCTGGGTATCATTGTTAATTTTCTGTCTCGTCGATCTAATATTGACATTGGGGTGTTAAAGTCTCCCACTATTATTGTGTGGGAGTCTAAGTCTCTTTGTAAGTCGTTAAAAACTTGCTTTATGTATCTGGGTGCTCTTGTATTGGGTGCATTTATATTTAGGATCGTTAGCTCTTCTTGTTGCATTGATCCTTTTACCGTTATGTAATGTCCTTCTTTGTCTCTTTTGATCTTTGTTGCTTTAAAGTCCATTTTATCAGAGATAAGAATTGCAACTCATGCTTTTTTTGGCTCTCCATTTGCTTGATAAATCTTCCTCCATCCCTTCCTTTTGAGTCTTTGTGTATCCTTGCATGTGAGATGAGTTTCCTGGATACAGCACACCGATGAGTTTTGGCTTTTTCTCCAATTTGCCAGTCTGTGTCTTTTGATTGGGGCATTTAGCCCATTTACATTTAGGGTTAATATTGTTATGTGTGAATTTGATCCTTCCATTTTGATGCTAGCTGACTGTTTTGCCCATTAGTTGATGCAGTTTCCTCATTGTGTTGATGCTCTTTACGATTTGGTATGTTTTTGGAGTGCCTGATACTGGTTGTTCCTTTCTATGTTTAGTGCCTCTTTCAGGATCTCAAGTAAAGCAGGCTTGGTGGTGATGAAATCTCGGAGTACTTGCTTGTTCATAAAGGATTTTATTTTTCCTTCATTTATGAAGCTTAGTTTGGCTGGATATGAAATTGTAGGTTGAAAGTTCTTTTGTTTAAGGACGTTGAATATTGGCCCCCACTCTCTTCTGGCTGTAGGGATTCTGCTGAGAGATCTGCTGTGAGTCCGATGGTCTTCCCTTTGTGGGTAACCCGACCTTTCTCTCTGGCTGCCTTGGCATTTTCTTCTTCATTTCAACCCTGGTGAATCTGACGATTATGTGCCTTGGTGTTGCTCTTCTTGAGGAATATCTTTGTGGTGTTCTCTGTATATCCTGGACTTGAATATTGGCCTGCCTTGCTAGGTTGGGGACGTTTTCCTGGATAATATCCTAAAGAGTATTTTGCAGCTTGTATTCATTCTTTCCGTCACATTCAGGTACACCTGTCAAACATAGATTAGGTCTTACACATAGTCCCATATTTCTTGGAGACTTTGTTCATTCCTTTTTACCCGTTTTTCTCTATTGATGCCTTCTCGTTTTATTTCATTGAGTTGATCTTCGACCTCTGATATCCTTTCTTCTGTTTTGTCAGTTCGGCTGTTGAAACTTGTGTATGTTTCACTGTATTCTCGTGTTGTGTTTTTCAGCTCCATCAATTCACTTGTATTCCTCTCTAAGTTTTTTATTCTCTTTAGTATTTCATCAAATCTTATTTCAAGGTTCTTAGTTTCTTGCACTGGGTTAGAACATGTTCTTTTAGCTCACAGAAGTTTCTTATTACCCACCTTCTGAAGCCTGATTCTGTCAATTCATCACACTCATTCTCCATCCAGCCTTGTTCCCTCGCTGGTGAGGGGTTGTGATCCCTTGTAGGAGAAGAAGTGTTGTGGTTTTCGGTGTTTTCATCCTTTTTGTGATGTTTTCTTCCCATCTTTGTGTATTTATCAACCTGTCACCTTTGTAGTTGACTTTCAGATTGGGTCTCTGAGTGGACGTCCAGTTTGTTGATGACGATGTTATTTCTTTCTGTTTCTTAGTTTTCCTTCTAACAGTCTGGCCCCTCTTCTGTAGGACTGCTGAGGTCCACTCCAGGCCCTGCTTGCCTGGGGAAACCTGCAGCAACTGCAGAACAGTAAGGGTTGCTGCCAGTTTCTTCTGCTGCTATCTTTGTCCCAGAAGGATACCCGCCAGATGTCAGTTTGAGCTCTCCTTTATGAGATGACTCTTTCAATATACGGGGGTTAGGGAGCTGCTCGAGGAGACAGTCTGTTCTTTATAGGAGCTCAGGTGCTGAGTTGTGAGCTCCGTTGTTCATTCAGAGCTGCTGGACAGGTACATTTAAGTCTGTTGCAGTGGAACTCATAAACCCCCTTTTTTTTCCCCCCAGCTGCTCTGTCCTAGGGAGTTAGGACTTTATTTATGAGTTTCTGTTGTGCTGCTACCTTTTTTTCAGGGCTGCCCTGCCCAGTGAGGAGGCAGCCTAGTCTCTGTTTGCTGTAGAGGCTTTGCTGAATTGCTCTGGGCTCCGCCCAGCTGCCGTGTGAACTTCACTGCAGTCCTGTTTATACGGGTATAGTTAGAATTGCCTCGTCAATGGTTGCCCACCTCTGTAATGGCGGACTCTCTCTGTAATGGTGGCCTGCCTTGGCAATGCCAGGCAGCCTCAGCAATGGTGGACTACCTCTGTAGTGGTGGACTGCCTCGGTAATGGCAGACACCCCTCCCCCACTGAGTTGGACTGTCCCGGGTTCAGCTGTGCTTGCTGTGAAACTGTCATTCAGAGTGTTTCAGATTGCTGTTTTTTTGTGGGAGTGGGACCAGCCGAGCCTGATCACCTGGCTCCCTGCCTCAGAGCCCTTTTTTTTCTTTTTTTTCTTTCAGTTAAATGGGCAACTCTGTCTCCCAGGTGTTCCAGTCGCCTGTTGAAAAGGCTCCAGGGTCTGTGTGATTTCCCATGTGGTGACCCACTGTGCCGTCTGAAACAGCCTCTCTGAGATTTGTGGCGCTTTTTTGCCTGGGAATCTCCTGGCCTGGCTCCCTGTTTCAGTCCCCTTTTTTATCAGTTCAATGGGTGACTCTATCTCCCAGGAGCTCCAATCACCAGCTAAAATGGTGCCTGGACCCATGTATTTTGTGTGGATTACCACAGTGCTGGCCAAAACAGCTTTGCTGGCGACTTGTGGGACTCCTCCACTTGGGAATCTCCTGGTCTGTGGGCAATAAAAATACGTCTGGAAATGCGGCGTCCATTCACCCTCTGTGCTTTTGCTGGAAGCTGCAATTCTGAGCTGTTCCTAATCAACCATCTTGGATCTATTCCTTGTGAAGGGGACATTATTATGTGTGCTTGTAGGTTTTTCTGCTTTCATTTTATTGTATATATAATTTTTATTATATACAGGTTTATTACATATATGCAAACAATAAGAATGAACTCCTTCGCTCTGTGTGTTCATTCTTTCAATCCCTTTATTTCTTCAACATATACCAAATACCTTTTATGTAGCAGACACATTCTTCCATCTTTCAGGACCCCCTTCCATCCTTAAAAATTTAATTTATCTGCCCAGCCTGAGCAAGCTGAGAGATTTAAAATTGGACTATTAGGGTTAAATCTCAATTGAAGTTTTATTCTCTTTTTTCAAATGAAAGTATTTCTGAAGGTAGAAAATATTTGTAAAAGATAACCTTTAAATATCTTTCTGAAAATTTAAATTTAGCTCAGAGAAGTTTAAATACTGACAGTGTTAAATACTACTATTAATTTTTAGAAATACTTGATTCAATACATTCTATAAATCTAAGTACTAACAAAATAGGTGTGCCTATTCATTTGAATCCTGAGTTTTCTTTGGCTTTAAGTTTTCTGAAAAAGTAAGAATTACTTTGTTTTAAAAATGTGTTGTTATTTTCATTTTAGCCCTCTTTCTGTCGTACTTCTAAGAAAATGTATTTAGATACCAATCATATGAGTAGAGCTGCCTGTTCTATATACCATATATCAGTGTAAGGCACTGTGAATTATGGGATGCCCCATTATTTTATGTATCAGTAAGAAAATGTTTAAAATACTGCCAGTAGGCTGGGCATGGTGGCTCACACTTGTAATCCCAGCACTTTGGGAGGCTAACAAGGGAGGATCACCAGAGGTCAGGAGTTTGAGACCAGCCTGTCTAACATGGTGAAACCCCATCTCTACTGAAAATACAAAAAATTACCCCGGCATGGTAGCATGCCCCTGTAATCCCAGCTATTCAGGAGACTGAGGCAAGAGAATCGCTTGAACCCAGGAGTCAGAGGTTGCAGTGAGAGGTTGCAGTGAGTGGAGATCACGCCATTGCACTCCAGCTTGGGCAGCAAGAGCAAAACTCCATCTCAAAAATAAATAAATAAAATGAAATGCTGCCAATGTTAGTCTTAATAAATCATGAATTAAAAGCAGGATTCCAAAGTCAGAAATGTTAAAATGTGACAAAATGAACTTCTTAGTTGAAATACAATGATACCTCTAATCCTTAAAACATATTTCAAAGTAGGTATAATTGTAATGTTTTACTTAATTAAAATGTTTTTGTAAGTAGTAATGCTTAACGATTATTGAGCTGTTATTTGTGCTGAGAACTGTTGTAAATGCTTTGTATAGATTCTCATGTAAGCATCACACTGGGAGATAGCTACTATTCTCATCTGTATTTTACTAATGAGGAAATTGAGGCTCATAAGGGCTCACCAGCACTGAATGAGTGACAGAGCTTAAAGTAGGAATCAAGCCCAAATTGAACTGAATCCAAAGGCTAAGCCCTTTCTATTAAGCAACCTGCTCTTTCATTATTACAGTAGGTAATAAGTGCTAAGAAAGATTGAACTTTCTTCACAGAAAAGTAACTGTTAGTTTTTAAGGTAAAGGGATAACATACTATTTGATGTTTACAATTAAATGCATCATTGTTTGTTTTGGGATAGTGCACTACAATTGCCTAAAATGTCCTCTCACTCTAATAGGACTGCTCTACATTGGGCGTGTGCCCATGGCCATTCAGGAGTGGTAACTCAGTTGGTGGCTAGAAAATGCCAGCTTAACCTCACTGACAGTGAAAACAGGACAGCTCTGATCAAGGTATATGGTAGTCAACTATATATATACACTATATATATATGGAATGGATTTAATTTAAAATCACAGAATAAAATGAATTAATCTCATTGGAGTATAACTAGTTGGTGAATCATGTGGAAGATTTCCTAGAATTTACAATCTGTTTCTTGGTCTAATACTGACAGGCTGTACAATGTCAGAAAGAGGTTTGTGCATCTATCCTCCTGGAACATGGCGCCGATCCAAATATTACAGACATATATGGCAACACTGCCCTGCACTATGCCATTGACAATGAGAATATATCAATGGCGGGAAAACTGCTTGCATATGGTGCAGATATTGAAGCAAGAAGCCAGGTATAGATCAACCAGTGTTCTATTCAAAGTATTTCAAGTGTATTTGTTTTACCATTAACATATGTAAGGGTCAGTTTTCTATATTTGGAAGCTCAAGTACTCCCTAAGTGAAGATACTTTTAAATAATGTAATTGTCTAAGATTTTACTATAAATATGGAAGCTTTTAAACCACTAGAGAATGCAGCTTTTATTATGCACTTATAAATATTTGTGAAAACACAGAATTTGTGAAAGGTAAAACTTTAAAACATTTTTCCACTCAAGTTTTTTTTCCCCCGATTAGCATAAGGTGACACAGAAAAGCAAAATTTGCCCTTAAATCTCAAAGAAAATTAAGGTATTTTACAATCAAAATAATCTTTGCTACTGTTGACAGTTTTTCCCCAAAAAAATAATTTATATCAGAGCAATCGATTGCTCTTGGTCAAGGGCACAAGATGGAGAGGTTGGACAGGGTAAAGAACAGCCATCAGAAATATGCATGCTGATTTGGACATTAGGTAATGAGAACAAATACTGAGAAGAGAGTTTTTTCTTTTTTGTTTATTTCCAGTATATATGTCTAGACAAGGTTCTCTTCAGTTTGGGCAATAATAAGTCTTAGTTTGGGAGAGTGAATTGTAAAATTGCCTTGAGATCAATTTTGGTAGGACTCTGAGGAAACTAGATTGGCATGAATGGGTGCTGATGAAGTAGGAAGCAGTTCAGCAGAGGGAATAACACATAATTAATGGACATTATTCTATTCTGGCAGAGTCACTTAGATAAGCATCTAAATTGCACTCTCAAGTCTACAATATATTGATGGAAGATGGGAGATGAGGAGTTACAAACAGCAAAATCAAGTTGGATTTTGAGTTTACTAGTCCCTGTTTCACCCTAGGCAGGAAAATTGAATGGAGTGTGCAGTGAATGACTGTCTCTTACTCTTCTTTTTGGCCAAATCCCTAAATGATAAAGGGAATTAGTCATGTGGGTGAGAGATGAGACTGAAATGATTATCTGCTGCACCGGTTCTCAGCTAGAATTGTGCATCACAGTAACCTGGGGACAGTAAAACGAAATATACAAGTCTCAGCTCTCTCCTGAAGATTTTGATATAGTAAATCTATTAAAGCCTCAAAATGGATATTTAAGAATATTTCCTTGAAGCCAGGCCTTGTGGTGCATGGCTGTAGTCCCACTTACTTGGAGGCTGAAGTGGGAGGATTGCTTAAGCCCAGGTTAATAGAGTGAGACTCTGTCTTTAACAGCAGCAGCAGCAGCAGCAGCAGCAGCAGCTAATACCACAAAATTACTTGATGTTCTCGTACACTTCTAGATAAGAACGAACTGAACAGATAAGTGTAATAGAAATTTCCCTATCTCAAAAACGTAAGAAATTTCTAAAGAGTTCAGAGTTTGATAGGCACTATAAATACTTCCTTTAAATTTCTTCTTTCAATATTAGGCTGACTTTGATCTTTCTCAACCTCTGTGGGTGGGAAGTTCAATTGAATATTATTTGTAACATCTTAACAGCTTAAAGAATAATACCTTTTCCTTGACACCATTGAATGTTCACTGTCATTCAGAAGGTCTTTAGAAATTGCTTTGGGATAGTATTATTTTTTAATTTTTTTATTTTTTATTGCATTTTAGGTTTTGGGTTAAATGTGAAGAACATGCAAGACTGTTGCATAGGTACACACGTGGCAGCGTGCTTTGCTGCCTTCCTCCCCTTCACCTATATCTGGCATTTCTCCCCATGGTATCTCTACCCAACTCCCCACCCCTAACTGTCCCTCTCCTGTTTCCCCCCAGCAGACCCCAGTGTGTGATGCTCCCCTCCCTGTGTCCAAATGTTCTCAATGTTCAACACCCGCCTATGAGTGAGAACATGCGATGGTTGATTTTCTATTCTTGTGTCAGTTTCCTGAGAATGATGGTTTCCAGGTTCATTCATGTGCCTACAAAGGACACAAACTCATCTTTTTTGATGGCTGCATAATATTCCATGATGTATATGTGCCACATTTTCCCTGTCCAGTCTATCATCGATGGGCATTTGGGTTGGTTCCAGGTCTTTGCTATTGTAAACAGTGCTGCAATGAACATTCGTGTGCATGTGTCCTTATAGTAGAATGATTTATAATCCTTTGGATATATACCCAGTAATGGGATTGCTGGGTCAAATGGAATTTCTATTTCTAGGTCCTTGAGGAATCGCCACACTGTCTTCCACAATGGTTGAACTAATTTACACTCCCACCAACAGTGTAAAAGTGTTTCTATTTCTCCACATCCTCTCCAGCATCTGTTGTCTCCAGATCTTTTAATGATCGCCATTCTAGCTGGCAAGAAATGGTATCTCAATGTATTTTTGATTTGCCTTTCTCTAATGACCAGTGATGATGAGCATTTTTTCATGTTTGTTGGCCTCATGTATGTCTTCTTTTGTAAAGTGTCTGTTCATATCCTTTGCCCACTTTTGAATGGTGTTGTTTGTTTTTTTCTTCTAAATCTGCTTTAGTTCTTTGTAAATTCTGGATATCAGCCCTTTGTCAGATGGTGGACTGCAAAATTTTTTTCCAATTCTGTTTGTTGACGATTCACTCTAATGACTGTTTCTTTGGCTGTGCAGAAGCAATGGGGTTTGATTAGGTCCCATTTGTCTATTTTGGCTTTTGTTGCCAAAGCTTTTGGGGTTTTAGTCATGAAATCCTTGCCTACGTCTATGTCCTGAATAGTTTTGCCTAGATTTTCTTCTAGGGTTTTTATGGTGTTAGGTCTTATATTTAAGTCTTTAATCTATCTGGAGTTAATTTTAGTGTAAGGTGTCAGGAAGTGGTCCAGTTTCTGCTTTTTGCACATGGCTAGCCAGTTTTCCCAACACCATTTTTTAAACAGGGAATCCTTTCCCCATAGCTTCTTTTTGTCAGGTTTATCAAAGATCGGATGGTTGTAGATGTGTGGTGTTGCCTCCGAGGCCTCTGTTCTGTTCCATTGGTCTATATCTCTGTTTTGGTACCAGTACCATGCTGTTTTGATTACTGTAGCCTTGTAGTGTAGTTTGAAGTCCGGTAGTGTGATGCCTCCTGGTTTGTTCTTTTTGCTTAGAATTGACTTAGCTTTGTTGGCTCTCTTTTGGTTCCATATGAAGTTTAAGGTGGTTTTTTCCAGTTCTGTGAAGAAGGTCATTGGTAGCTTGATGGGGATAGCATTGAATCTGTAAGTTACTTTGGGCAGTATGGCCATTTTCACGATATTGGTTCTTCCTAAGCATGAACATGGAATGTTTCTCCATCTGTTTGTGTCCTCTCTTATTTCATTGAGCAGCGGCTTGTAGTTCTCCTTGAAGAGGTCCTTTACGTTCCTTGTTAGTTGTGTTCCTAGGTATTTTATTCTCTTTGTGGCAATTGTGAATGGAAGTTTGTTCTTGATTTGGCTCTCTTTAAGTCTGTTATTGGTGTATAGCAATGCATGTGATTTTTGCACATTGATTTTGTATCCTGAGACTTTGCTGAAGTTGCTTATCAATTTCAGGAGATTTTGGGGTGAGATGATGGGGTCTTCTAGATATACAATCATGTCGTCTGCAAATAGAGACAATTTAACTTCCTCCTTTCCTATTTGAATACCCTTTATTTCTTTTCAATCAATTCAATCAGCAATCTTGCCTGATTACTCTGGCTAAAACTTCCAGTACTATACTGAATGGAAGTGGTGAAAGAGGGCATCCTTGTCTAGTGCCAGGTTTGAAAGGGAAAGCTTCCAGTTTTTGCCCATTCAGTATGATATTGGCTGTTGGTTTGTCATAGATAGCGTTTATTATTTTTAGATACGTTCCATCAATACCTAGTTTATTGAGGGTTTTTAACATAAAGGGCTGTTGAATTTTGTCAAAGGCCTTCTCTGCATCAATCGAGATAATCATGTGGTTTTTGTCTTTGGAATAGTTTTTAATAAGCAGAGGCTGACCCTTTCAGGGTTTTGTGTCTCTTAGTTGTCATTCAGGTGAGTAGGTCAAGAAATCATTGTTATAAGCAGGTTCTTCCATTAGAATAGTAGCACATTTTTGACCTTTTTTAAAAGTTGAAGCTGCATTATGGACTATCTCAGTATGTTATTAGATTTGTAGTTTTGGCATGGTTAGGATGGCAGTTTTGAACACTGAAAACCATGTAGTTAGTAAGAATTCAGATAGGTATTCTTTCAATAACTTAGTTACAGCAGTCCTGTGAACTAATTATCCATTTTTTTAAATGAGCTGGGAAAGTTAAATACAAATAGAATGTAAATGAACGAATGTTGGAAAAGTTCTTGAAGTGGCAATTATGAATCTTAATGGCAATTTTTATTGCATTTTTGGGCCTGACTTTTTTGTTAAAACATCTGAAACTAAAAGGAAATATTTTACATACAAATATTTGCTTTACATACAACTATTTAAAAATACATTCATAGCAAATATGAAAACACAAGGTCTGTAGTCTAAATGTGCCCCATAGATTTAGTTTAGTTTACCTCTATAAGATGTGTCAACATGTAAAATTTAGACAACTCATACACAGATCTAGATTTCAGGCTTCTCTTAAAGGATCACATCTGAATTCCCTTGAGTTCATATCAGTGTCATTATGCTGTGCAGAGGTTACCCCGTTATGTGAGGCATATGTGCTCCCGTCTGCTACTGTGCCTTCCAGATACCCTAGGAGGGGTATCTGAAAGGGAAGGAACAGCATGTGGGCAAGCACCATGGAGTGAGAAGGAAGCGATTGCTTTTTATTTACTTTCTACTTCATACGTTTAAGTTCATAGGATCTTACATAAGGTTTTCAGTTCAGTTGAGAAATATGTAATTTTGTGAATTATAAATTGTTTTTGCTGCTTTACAGGGTGAACTTACATCACTTTTACTTGCCATAAATAGGAAAAAAGAGCAAATGGTGGCATTTTTGTTGAAGAAAAAACCAGATTTAACTGCTGTAGATAATTTTGAAAGGTACAATAGTTCTTTTCTTGTTCATTTTTAAACCTGAGTGGTGTTCTAGAGTGGAAACAGTCACTTGTCAGAAATATTAAATTGATAAGATTAACTTATTATTATTGGGATAGAGAGAAGTATCAACACAAATCATCAAGTAAACAATTATTTACACTGGGCAACATAAAAAATCTGTATTGTAGGATTCATCTTCCCTTATTATATTGACTATTGACAGATGAGGTAATATTTTGAGTGATATGATCTTACATTAACTAAAGGGATTTCATATTGGTTTTATTTGTTTTAAAATTGTGGACTTCAACTTTTAGTTTACTTTGACTCAATATTGAAATTTCTTAACTCTCTTATAGTAGTTTTAATCTTTGCTTTTTGCATACTTTTTCTTTAAAAATAGTATGTTAAAGATAAATTAGAGTTGAAAATCATTTTGTCTTTTGGATGACTTTGCTTTAGTTTGCTTTGTCTCAAGAATCTTAATGTTAGGTTATTCCTAAGTGACTATTAATTGCTATTGCGAGATACTGTGTGTTCATTGGGGTTTTTTTCTTCTTTTTACTTCTAGTGTATTTTTATATTATTTTTAATTAGTATGGGCAGAGGGCAAAAAGATAGCTTTAAATGGATAAGCTTTTCTTTTCATGAATACAAGCCATGTGTGGCTGACAATGAGAAAAAAAAGGATAAGCTTTAGATTCACGTAAGACTGGGTTTAATTCATCGCTTTTCTACTTGGTAGGTGTGTGACCTTGGGAACAGTACTTATCACCAAGTATGTTTTCCTATGTGAAAAAGAGAAAATAATATCTCTTTCAATGATGGTTGTTTATGAGTAACGTATATATATATGGCATTTAATTTAGTGTCTCGCACATGATTATCAGTATCATTAACTGAAACTATTGTGGCTATTACTAGCATTATTTTTATTGTTTTAAACCTACAGATAGCTCTTACTTACCCCAAGCTGATTTTGAATTACAGTATATCAGACTAGGGCAGAAATGGATAATTCATCACTTAAATGTTTAGCTACTTTAGATAAGTGACCTGAACATAGCATCCTGGTCATCAAAGGACTTTATTTTAGCAACTTCTTCTGAGTCATATCCCAGTTGGACAAGACGCTTTCTTGTTGTGCCTTCCTTTTGGCTTTGGTTGCAATTTACAAACATGAACCCTTGAGCACCCAAGATGCTTGTGTTTATTAGAATATATAATTAGTTAATTCTACGTGGTTAGACAAGATATTAAATTGGTAAAGTATATAAATATAGTTTTTAGTATAACTTTGCTAAAGTTCCTAAACATGAAATTATCTCTCTGTTATTTTAGAACAGCCCTCATACTTGCTGCTCGTAGTGGATCAACAAGTATAGTCCACCAGCTTCTTCAGCAAAATATTGATGTTGTTTTCCAAGATATATCTGGATGGACAGCAGAAGACTATGCTGTTGCTTATAACTTTCGAGAGTAAGTGTTTAAAAGGCCACTGAACAGTAAATTGAGGCTTAAAATAATTGTAACCATTGCATCTTATACATCAGGTGAGATTTCATAGTTTGGTTCAGATAGGTTTGGAGTGGCAGTGAGTTAGTCCACTTCATCAGCCAGAAATCAAGCATAAGACTAGACTAGTTAGAAGTAGCAATGAGTGCAGGATTCTTTAACTCAAGACTCTTAAAAAAAAGACTTTTATGCTTAGGGATGGATCCTAATGTTTTCCATTTCATTCCAAGTATAACCCCTGTGCATGGGATAAAATAGTTTCACATCTTTGATTTTTACAATTAGTTATTTGAATCTTGAAACGTCCAGTTTATCAGAAAATGTTGGACTATCTCCTGGGAGCTGTCTTCTATACCCTCTACCTTGAATATTTCAAGAACCTAAGAGGTCTCCTAAGTCCAAAGAAGACAATCATGTTTTACAAGTCAGTAGGAGTGGAAAGGGGAGGATATTCTAATTATTCTGTTGTTTTCATGGATTCTGTTAACTGGTTTTTGCCATTGAAACTACTCCTGCAGTCTGGTAAAGATTGACTTTTGCCACAAGAATGCCCCTCCTGATTCAGATCTCTCATTCTTTATAGTAATCTATACATAGTCTTCCAAGTCACAACTTGTTCACATAAATATGCTTATATGCTCAGCCATTGTTTCCAAAGCACCAGTACCCTGCTCTGGCTTCTAGACATACCAGCTTTACCCACACACATAGTGAGCAAATTGACCCTTCCTTCCATACTCAAAACCTCATGTGGAGCGCACATCATAGCCTGGAATCTAGAATCCTAGATATTGATGGTAAGTTATTCTTTGAGTCCCTTGTTTGTCTTCTTTCCAGCAAATATTAGTTGGGATAGTTCTAAGCTGTTAGAGATGTTCAGATAGTGTTGCAGAAAGATATCAAAGTTTTTTCTTCTTTGCCACCAGATTTTTACCCCAAGCCCCTTTATATCTTATGTAGCAGCTTTTCTTAGACAGTGGAAGGTCCCATGTTATCCTTTCCCAGAGCAGTGGGCACCAACTTGTGGCTGGCCCCTCAAAGAATCTGTTTTCCATAATAAAAATCTCCCAAGCTACTTGCTTCTGTATATCAAGCTTTTTAAATATCTTCAAATTCTACCTCATAGGAAGCCATTCATCAGAATTACCTGAGTCTCAGGTAGGTGAGTTGGACTGAACAGAGCCAAGCTTCATCCATGATTCATCAGCATCCATTTATAAAAGTAGGGCTTTGTGCTTGCTTCAGCAGCACATATACTAAAACTGGAACAATATAGAGAAAGTTAGCATGGCCCCTACATAAGCATGCCACACTAATCTGTGAAACATTCCATATTTCACACAGTTACAAAAAGGTAAGCTGACTAGTTTGCTGACAAGTTTCCAGAAAACAGTGTGAGTCAGAGCAAAACAGGTGCTAGCCAATTGTGAAATTACACATTTTTATTACAAAAACATTGGTATAAGGTAATTTATGAAATGAGAATGGAGCTGAGTAACCCATGGTGTGTTGTGTGCAAATATATTGGTAGTATGTATCTCAGAAATGAGAAAATACCCACTTACATCTCCTTCATGAAACTTAAAAAAATTAGGGTTTTTGTTTTCTGTGTCAGTTTGAGATGAACATGCTCCGAGAGAAAGCATCATCCTAACAAAGATCTGCTGGTTCAGAGTTAGAGTCATGTTATCTATTCTAATGAGACAATGTATTTATTAATAAATTTAATTACAAACACAAACTATGAAATAATTGAGATGTCTTGAATCATAAGCCACAAATAATAGAACAACTAATAAGCAAAATTAAGGCTTAACATTTTCAAAAGATCATAACATTTTAATATTAAGACATATGGGAAACTACACATTGGGTTTCATTTGGAATTCCAAAATATTTCAACAATAAAGTTCAAGAATAAATTATTCCATTGCTTTATTGTTTCTCTGAGCACATTAAAATGTTATTTCATTAAACATAACAACCTAGTGAATAAGGTAGCAAAACCTTCATTCTTTAGAAGACATTGAGCCTAAGAGAAGGAACTTGTCCAAGAACAAATACATGTTGGTTACAGAGCTAGGACTTATAAGTCAGATCGTTTTCCATTATGTCAACCTTACATGTTAATTTACTGAGTTTTACTGCCCTCACTTCATGAGTACTTTACTTTTTTCTTCTTTAATTAGAAGCTTAATAAGAATTTTGTAGAGGTTAAAAACTAAAAGAATATGGGATAAAGTTCTGATATTGTTTGATATACCCTAAGAATTTAATGTATCCAGTAAATGTTTTTCATATCAGCATTAAAATAGTAATTGTATTTACTACATTTTTATGCATAGCATTCGCAGACTAATTTCTGAATATAAAGCAAACAAGAAACGTAAAAGTCTTCAAAATAGCAATCCAGGTAAGACTTCTGACAGTGCATTCCTCTCGATGATCCTATCATAGATAAAAAAGTAAGAGGAAGGAAGTGATCACAAAACAGCAGTTTAAAAAAACCACTGTGTAAATTGAATGTATATTTTTAAATTACTTTCTTGGTAATCTAGATTTCAGAATTATTTAAAAGGTTACTTGTAGGCAATTTATAATCTGAAGCCATATTATCTGAAAAAACAATTCATTATTGTATTTTCTAAAACTCTAGATGATATTTTTGTGTAAATAAGAAAAAAGATTTTTAAGTTAGCATGTAGTATGTTTTCTTTATAGTCACTTTGACAAATTGGACTTGTAAAATTGGATATTCTAATCTGTAGAATAAGTCCTTTGTATTTAGTAAATACATCTTTGAGCAGTGTGGGATTTAGGGGTACCAGTCACCTATTCACTTTGAAATCTGTGTATAACTTTAGACTCCCCCTATAACTTAACTGCTCATGGCTTATCATTGACTGGAAGCCTTAGTGATTATAAAGTCAATTAAGACATATTTGTTATATCTTAATTATTGTTATATGTGTTATATACTGTATTGTTAATACAATAAACTAGAGAAAAAGAAACATAAAATCATAATGAAGAAAGAATATATTTTCATTCAGTGGAAAGTGGATCATCGTAAAGCTTTCATCTTCAGTGTCTTCAAATTGGCTAGACTGAGGAGGAGGAGGAAGTAGATGGAGATTGATCTTGCTGTCTCAGGTGGCAGGGGCAGAAAAAAATCTGCAGATAATTGGCCCCTGCAGTTCAAACCTTTGTTATTCTGAGTTCAACTCTGACAGAGTGATTTGTGTCACTGAAAATGTAACTCTCTTCAAAACCAGAATTTCAATGAGACTTTTCTGGTACCATGAAGAAACATCCATAAGAACTGTACCAATACCAATAGGATATTATTTTTTAAAGATACCTACTGTGTGAAGTCAGAAAATAAATTCCTTATTGAGAAGCACAGGTCATGTTACATATTCTTATATCAACAAGGTCTCGCTAGTATTGACTTAATTTCCCCCAAGTGGAAATCAAATGAGATACATTTACTTTGTTAGAATGAGATTTGTTCCATCTGCTAGTTAATTGTCATAACATCAATTTTGTTAGAAGAAGACATTCTGTTACCATTAGCTAAAATATTATTATAATAAAACATGGGTAGGATTAAGGTAAGCATGCAGAGTGAGTAGGCATTTGCCAGGTAAAGAAGCCAAAGAATGATGGTTGACAAAAGGGATATCTAACAAGATTGTATGTTTGGCAGAAGGAACAGCTAAGAAGATCGCACATTTCCCAAAAGGAAAAACAAGTGCAAAAGGTAAGATGCTTGAGGGAATTTCACAGAGTTTATGAGAAGTTAGTACAATTAGTATAATATGAGAGTGGTTGGGAATGATTTGAATACCTAGCTAAGTTAAGCTTAGGAAAGACTTTTTAAACATATTGAAATGAAATAGATCTTATCCGTAGGCCATGGAAAAATTCTTAGATAGAGTGCTTGTGACTGCAAACATTAGATGATGTAACTAACAATAGCTAAAACAATGGGAGCCAAAGTTGTTTTGGTGGTTCAGCGATACCATCCTATCTCACTTGTCTCTTTCAGCTGTGCTGTTGGCAGTGTTTTGTTCATATCTCCTTTCATGGTTGGCTACTTAGCAATAGCTTCAAACATCGTGTTCTCACAAGAGAGTATCTAAAGGCTGAAGGGTTACTTTTTTTCAAGTGTTCCTTTTAGAAAAGGAAGAAAAGTCAGAAGCTTGCATTAGACCTCCTGTGACATTTTATTGGCTTGATTATACCAGCTGCTCATTCCTAAACCCGGCACTGGAAAAGCAAATGTAATTACTGTGATTTGCTTAGAATAATTATTTCTCTTTTTTGGAGCTTGGAGGGATATTGGATGATGAATATCCAGGTAAACTTGGATTTCTCCAGCTGGAAAAAATAAGGAATGGCTACTTGATAGGGAACCAGCAATGTTTGCTGCAGAGAATCACTAGAAATTTTTCAGAAGGGAAGTCACGAGATTTGAGGATTAGGGCATTCTGGTTATGGTATAAAGCAAGGATTGGCAAGCTGTTTCTGTAAAGGGCCAGATAGGTAATATTTTAGGCTGTGTAGTCTCTGTCATAGCTACTACTGCCATTGAAGTGTGAAAGCAGGCATAGATAGACTGTGCTCCAAAAAAAGTTTATGTACAAAACCATATGGCAGGCTGGATTTGGCCTGTGACCTGTAGTTTGCTGACCCCTCACTTAGAAGTTAGTGAAAGGTAACCACGTAGACTGGGAGACAAAGGAAACTTTGGCCATATTCAAACCTATATCCTTATCACCAGTCTTTGCACTAGTCTTAATCTACTATGAGGCTTTCACTGACCCAAGGTGAAATAATTATAAGCAGCTCAGTTTATTCACTTTAAAATGTTCATTTTTTTCTTGCCCTTATTCTCTCATTTTTTTCTGTTTTTTTTTTTTTTTTTTTTTTTTTTAAATTTTTATTATTTTTTTTTTTTTTTTTTTTTTTTTTAGAAAATATTAATAATTGGTAGAGTTTGTTTTTCCCTTGTGAAAGACATCAGTTTAGAGGTCATGTTTAACTAGAAAAATATAAACATATTTATCTTGGGCCGGGCACGGTGGCTCAAGCCTGTAATCCCAGCACTTTGGGAGGCCGAGGCGGGTGGATCACGAGGTCAAGAGATCGAGACCATCCTGGTCAACATGGTGAAACCCCATCTACTAAAAATACAAAAAATTACCTGGGCATGGTGATGTGTGCCTGTAATCCCAGCTACTCAGGAGGCTGAGGCAGGAGAATTGCCTGAACCCAGGAGGCGGAGGTTGCGGTGAGCTGAGATCGCACCATTGCACTCCAGCCTGGGTAACATGAGTGAAACTCCGTCTCAAAAAAAAAAAAAAAACATGTTTATCTTGTGGCAGTGGAAATATAAATCCAAGGCACAGTTAATATGATTTAGTGATTGTTGAAGGTAAAATGTTAGATGGCAGAGAGAAATCTTAGATTATAAGTTTTGAAGTTGTGCACTAACATTTATACTATATTAGAGGAACAGGGAATTTCAGGCGAATAGAGAAGTGTAGGGAAGAGGAAAGACAAATGTGAGTTTAATGGAACAATCATAGAGGATATTTTTTGTAGGTAATTGGATAATAGGTATTTCTAGCTGGAGATGAAACTCTGAGGTGGGAGTTGCCAACATAGAACGATCCTGTTATAATTATTAAGCAAACTCATAGATCTCAATGAGCTGAAGTTGTATAATGACAAGAAAGCCAGTGACAGAACCCTAGGCATAGCAACATTTTCCAAAGGAAAAGGGCATGAGTAAGGGAGAATGAGCAGTAGCTAGAGAAATGTAGGAGAGGAGTCAGAGGAAATGGTGTTGCAGAAATTTAAAACGTGAGAATTTCAAGAAGGTAATATCAATTCTAACAATTAAGATTACTAAAAAGTAAAATGGATGTAACTTTGAAAAGCTCTTTGGTGGTACCCTTTCCAAAAGAATCATTTTAGAGTTGTAAGGTTTACTATAGATTTGATTGATACTTCTGGTGTTCAAATATGAAAGAACAAATCTACCAAGATCCCACCTAACTTTTTGGTAACTACAGCAGCTATGTACAAGGGGTCAGGGAAGATAATCTAGACTGATAAGTGCATGTGCCAACATTTTTCCACAATTGTCAAAACCTAAAGATCATGTGTGAGAAAAAGTATTGTCTTTCTTACCTGCTTCTTGTGGAAAAACTTCATTTATATTCAAGTCCTTGATAAGTTCCTGTGGATACATTTTGAAGCTTAAATATGGTAGCAGCAACTAAAACCTGCTGTCAGACACATACCCTCTCTTTGTCATGGAATTATAACACAGCCATGTTTTGACAGTTTCAAGTTTTGAACACAAGTGTAGTTTGCAGACCAGGAGTTTGGAGAAACTGACATCTTTTGTATAATATTATGGAGAAAAATATAAGGTGATATGCTGAATATACTTAGTTCTCAGCATTCTGGTGACATCAGTAGAAAAGCCAGTACTTGGTTCTTTTTCTTAGTGCAATTCCCTCTTCATTTGCCTGTTCTGATATCAGCACTTCTACTGCTTCCTTTTGAATTTCATCCCTAAAGAAAACACTTTTAGAATACATTTCTAATGACCATTGATGATGAACATTTTTTTCATGTGTTTTTTGGCCTCATATATGTATTCTTTTGAAAAGTGTCTGTTCATATCCTTTGCCCAGTTTTGAGTGGGTTTGTTTTTTTCTTCTAAATCTGTTTTAGTTCTCTGTGGATTTTGCATATAAGTCCTTTGTCAGATGGGTAGATTGCAAACATTTTTCCCATTCTGTTGGTTGCTGGTTCACTTATGATTGTTGCTTTTGCTGTGCAGAAGCTCTGAAGTTTACTTAGATACCATTTGTCTATTTTGGCTTTTGTTGCCAATGCTTTTGGTGTTTTGGTCATGAAGTCCTTGTCTAGGCCTATGTCCTGAATGGTTTTGCCTAGGTTTTCTTCTAAGGTTTTTATGGTGTTAGGTCTTATGTTTAAGTCTTTAATCCATCTGGAGTTAATTTTAGTGTAAGGTGTCAGGAAGGGGTCCAGTTTCTGCCTTCTGCACGTGGCTAGCCAGTTTTCCCAACACTATTCATTAAACAGAGAATCCTTTCCCCATTGCTTGTTTTTCTCTGGTTTGTCAAAGATCAGATGATTGTAAATGTGTGGCATTGCCTCTGAGGCCTCTGTTTTGATGCCAGTACCATGCTGTTTTCATTACTGTATCCTTGTAGTATAGCTTGAAGTCAGATAATGTGATGCCTCCAGCTTTGTTCTTTTTGCTTAGGATTGTTCTGGCTATGTGGGCTCTCTTTTGGTTCCATATGAAGTTTAAGGTGGTTTTTTTCCAGTTCTGTGAAGAGGGTCATAGGTAGCTTGATGGGGATAGCATTGAATCTATAAATTACTTTGTGTGCCACATTTTCTTTATTCAGTCTATCATGGATACGCATTTGGGTTGGTTCCAAGTCTTTACTATTGTTAACAGTGCCACAATAAACATACATGTGCATGTGTCTTTATAATATAATGTTTTATAATCCTTTGGGCATATACCCAGTAATGGAATTGCTGGGTCAAATGCTGTTTCTATTTCTAGATCCTTGATGAATCACTACACTGTCTTCCACAATGGTTGAACTAATTTACACTGCCATCAACAGTGTAAAAGCGTTCCTATTTCTCCACATCCTCTCCAGCATCTGTTGTCTCCTGATATTTTAATGATCACCATTCTAACTGGCGTGAGATGGTATCTCAATGCAGTTTTGATTTGTATTTCCCTCTAATGACCATTGACGATGAGCTTTTTTTTCATATGTTTGTTTGCTACATAAATGTCTTCTTTTGAAAAGTTTCTGTTCATATCTTTGCCCACTTTTTGATAGGGTTGTTTGTTTTTTTCTTGTAAATTTGTTTAAGTTATTTGTGGATTCTAATTATTAGTCCTTTGTCAGATGCGTAGCTTGTAAAATTTTGTGCCCATTCAGTTGGTTGCCGGTTCACTCTAATGATAGTTTCTTTTGCTGTGCAGAAGCCCTTAAGTTTAATTAGACAAATGGGATCTAAGAGGTTCTGTTTTGATGCATTTCCAGGATTCGTTTCAAGAGGTGGCCTTTCTTGCAGTGGTGGCTTGGTAATGGCAATTCTGTCAGCATGTGTTTGTCTGAAAAAGACTGTAGCTTTCCTTCACATATGATGCTTAGTTTCACTGGCTACAAAATTATTGGCTGATAATTGTTTTGTTTGAGGAGGCTGAAGATAGGGCCCCGGTCCCTTCTAGCTTATAAGGTTTCTGCTGAGAAATCTCCTGTTAATCTGATAGGTGTTCCTTCATAGGTTACCTAGTGCTTCTGTCTCTTAAGATTTTTTCATTTGTCTTAACTTTGGATAACCTGATGACAGTGTGCCAAGGTGATGATCCTTTTTTCAGTTTCTCTTGTCCCATGCACGGGGTGTTCCTTGATGTAGCACTCTCCCCGTTTTCCTATGTTTGTGGCTTTCTTTGAGCCAAACTGCAGTGATTATTTTCTGTCTTCTGGGTCTAGGCACTCAGCAAGTGTGCCTGGCTCCAGGCTGGCACTGGGGATTGTCTGCACAGTCTTATGATGTAAACTGTCTATGGGTCTCTCAGCCATGGATACCAACCTGTTCCACTGGAGGTGGCAGGGGATGCAATGGATTCCACGAGGGTTTTTAGTTTCAGTAGTTTAATGCTTTATTTTTGTTCTGGTTGGC